TGCCTGGCTTATTTCATTTAGCATAATGTTCTCCACTTCCATCCATGTAGTTGCAAATGACAGTTTCTTTTTTTAAAGGTTGACAGTATTCTGTTCTATATATGTACTGCATCTTCTTGAACAATGAATCTTTTGATGGACACTTAATCTTATAACTTGGCTATTGTGAATAGTGCTCCGAGACCATGAGAGTGAGTGCAGGCATCTCTTTGAAAAAAACTGATTTAAAATCTTTTGGGTAAACATCCAGAAGCAGGATTTCTGGATTACACGGTATTTGTAGATTTAGATTTTGAGAAACAACCATACAGTTGCCCACAATGTACAAATTCATATTCCTACCAACAGTGTACAAGAGTTTCCTTTTCTCCACATCCTGCCAACATTTCTTTTATTGTCTTAGTAGCAGCCATGCTGACAGGTGTGAGATGATATCTTATTGTGGGTTAAATTTGCATTTCTCTAGTGATGACTGATGTTAACCATTTTTTGCATACACTTGTTGGCCGTTTGTAGTTTTTGAGTACTGTTTACTCAGTTCCCTTGCCTTTATTTTATTTTATTTTATTTTTTGTTTTGGTTTGTTCTTGCCATTGAAATGTTTGATCTACTTAAATATTTTAAATATTAACCTCTTATCGGGTATATGGCATGCACATATTTCCTCCCAGTCTGTAGATTGTTTCTTCCTACTGTTGTTTCCTTTTGGGTTTGCTCTAAGCGCATTCGTCTACTTTAGCTTTTGTTGCCTGTACTTTTATAGTCAGATCTGAGAAATCATTGCCCATGTTGTGCAGTGGTACATGGAATTACATGGGATTTCTAGCTTTAGATTTTGAGAAACAACCGTACAGTTTCCCATAATATTGTGCAGTTGTGTACATGTTGTGCAGTTTTTCCTCTGTTTTCTTCTAGTTTCATAGTTTCTGATCTTGTGTTTAAGTCTTTAGTACATTTCGTGTTGAATTTTGTGTATGGTGTGAGATTAGGGTCCAATTTCATTCTTCTGAATGTGGATATTCAGTTTCCCCAGCACCATTTATTGAAAAAGCTATCCATATCACATTGTGTGTTCTTGGCACCTTTGTCAAAAATCAGTTAACTGTATGTATATGCATGTGTTTATTTCTGAGTTTTCTATTCTATTTCATTGGTGTGTGTGTGTGTGTGTGTGTGTGTGTGTGTGTGTGTGTCTCTTTTTAACCAGTACCATGCTGTTTTGATTACTATAGCTTTGTAGTGTAGTTTGAAATTGAGTAATGTGATGCTTCCAGTTTTTTTCTTTTTCTCGTGGTTAGCTATTCAAGGTTTTTTGTGGTTCCATATGGATTTAAGGATATTTTTTATTTCTATGAAAAATGACATTAGAATATTGATAGGAATTGCATTAAATTTATGGATTGCTTTGAATAGGAGGGGCATTTTAACAATACTAATTCTTCCAGTATGTGAACATGAGATATGTTTCTATATATTTGTGTTGTCTTCAATTATTTTTTTTATCAGTGTTTTATAGTTTTCACTAGTTAGGTCTTTACCTTCTTGATTAAATTTATTCCCAAATGCTTTTACAGCTATCATGAATGTAATTGTCCTCTTGATTTCCTTTTCACAAGTTTGTTGCTAGTATATAGAAATGCTACTGATTTTTGTGTATTGATTTTGTATTTCAAAACCTTACTATATGTGTGTGGTTTTTTTCAGGTGTTTACAGCTTTCTATATATAAGATCTTGTCATCTGCAAACTGACAATTTCACTTCTTTGTTTTCTGTTTGGATGCCTTTTATTTCTTTCTCTTTGCTAATTGTTCTGGCAGGGACTTCCAGTATTGTATTAAATAGAAGTGGCAAGTGTGGGCCTTGTCTTGTTTCAAAACTTAGTAGAAAGGCTTTCAGTTTTTCAGCATTAACTATACTGTTAGCTGTGGCATAATGCTTCTCATATATGGCCTTTATTATGTTGAAGTAAGTTTCTTCTATACCTAGTGTTGAGTCATCCTTGCATCTGTCTTTGTAGATTATCCTTTTAATTTCATGTTCTGTTTGCTAGTATTTTGTTGAGGACTTTTCCATTTATGTTCTTGAAAAGTATTGGTCTGTAATTTTCTTGTAGTGTACTATTCTTGTAGTAAAGTTTATTTTCTTGTAGTTTTTTTAAATGTTTGGTAGAATTCAGCCAAGAAACCATCAGGTCCTGGACTTTTCTCTGGTGGGAGAGTTTTTATTCCTGATTCAGTCTCCTTGTTATAGGTCTGTTCTTATTTTCTATTTCTTCATGGTTCAATTTTGGTAGTTTGTATGTATCCAGGAATTTATACATTTCTTCTGGGTTACCCAATTTATTGGCTTGTGATTGTTTGAGGTCATCTCTTATCGTTTGTATCTTTGTGTTATCAGTTGTAATGTGTCCTTTTTCATTTATATTTTATTTGAGTCTTCTCTTCCTTTCTCTTACTCTGCCTAAAGGTTTGTTAATTATCTTTCCCAAAAACCACCTCTTAGTTTTATGTTTTGTGTCGTCCTCTAATCTCTTTTACTTATTTTTGCTCTGATCTTTATTATTGCCACTTTTTTTTTTCCTGCTAACTTAGGTTTGAGTTTGTTCTTTTTCCAGTTTCTTGAAATGTAACATTAGATTGTTCATTTGAAATGCTTTTTCTTTTTTTGATGTAGGCATTTATCATTACAGACGTTCTCCTAAGGCCTGCTCTTGTGTTCCCATTTTTATTTGTCTCGAAATATCTTAAAATTTTCCTTTCCTTTATTGATTCATTGATCTTTAAGTAGCATGTTGCTTAATTTTCCTGTATTTAAAATTTTCCTGCCATTTCTCATGTTATTAATATCCAATTATATGTTATAATATGTGGTCAGAAAAGAGACTATATAATTCCAACATCTTAAATTTGCTGAGGCTTATTTTGTACTCTGACATGTGAGACCCGTCCCACAGAATATTTCATCTGCTTGAAAAGGATATGTATTCTATTGCTGTTGGACAGAATGTACTGTATATGTCTCTGAGGTCCATGTGATCTAAAGTGCTGTTCCAGTACAAAATATCCTTGTTAATTTTCTGTCTGGGTGATTATTTCATTGTTGAAAGTGGGGTACTGTTGTCCCCTGCTATTATTGTATTATAATGTATATCTCCTTTCAGATCTTAATATTTATTTTGTATATTTAAGTACTCTTTTTGGGTGCATATATATTTATAATTATTATAATCTCTTGACCTTTTAATTATTTTTAATATCCTTTGTCTCTTTTTGCTGTATTTGGTGTAAAGTCTATTTTGTCTGATATAAGTACTGCTACCCTTGCTATCTTTTGGTTTCCCTTTGCATAAAATATCCTTTCCATCTCTTCATTTTCAGTCCATGCATGTCATCAAAAGTGAGGTAAGTCTCTGTAGGCATATAGTTGGGTGTTGCTTCATTACACATTTAGTCACTCTTTGTCTCAGAGAATTTAATTTATTTACATTCCTGGTAATTATTGATAGATAAGGATTTACTACTGTCATGTGGTTATTTTCTGTTATTTTGTAGATAATATATTTGTTTATTCTCTGGGGATTTAATGGTTTTCTGTACTGGTATGCTTTGAAACTTTTTATTTTTGTTTTATATTTCCACTAAAGATTTTTTCTTTGTGGTTACCATGAGGCTTATATAGAACATCTTATAACTGTCTCTTTCACTCTATTTCAAAGGAAACAACCAACTTTGATTGTAACTATACATTGTACTTATCCTCTCCTCCACAATGTATATTTTTGATGTCAGAATTTTTATATTGTATAATATGTATCCCTGTCAATTCATTATAGCTATACTTAATAGTTTTTCTAAACTCTCATACGTGTATAAAACCCTCGTGCTAGGTCTTACCATCATTACAATTTTAGAGTATTCTGAATATGACTGTTTTACTTATAAAGTTGATTTTTTCTTTTGCTTTTTTATGGTTAATATTATTAATTAACAGCTTTTTGTTTCAGCTAAAAAAAAACTCACTTTGCCAGTTCCTATAAGGTGAATATACCAGTGATGAACTCCCTTTGCTTTAATTTTACGAGAAACATTTTATTTCTCCCTCATTTCTGAAAGATAGCTTTGCTAAATGAAGTATTCTTTGTTGTTTTTTTCATTTAACACTTTGAATATATCGTCCCACTTTCTCCTAGCATACAAGGTTTCTGCTGAGCAATCTGCTTACAGTCACATTGTCATTTTTTTGTATGTGATATGTTTCTTATGTCTTGCTGCTCTCAGAATTTTATTTTTGTTTTTGATAGTTTATTATGTGCCTTGATGAACTTCTTTCTGGACTGTATTGATCAGAGACCTGTATGCTTTCTGTCCTTGGGTGTCGGCATTCATCTCCAGAAGGACACTTCTCAACCATTATTTCCTTAAATATGTTTTTTTCCTGGCCCTTCTGCTTCCTATACCTTCTACAGTTTCCTATTAGGTGATGTTTGGTCCTTTGCTTCTGTCCCTTCATTCCTATAGACCTTCTTTCCTCTTCTGTGTTTTTTCTTCACTAACTATATAATTTTAAATGTTCTGTCTTCTAGCTAATTGATTCTTCTGCTGAATTGAGTCTATTGTTGAAGGTTTCTTTTGAGTTTTTTAGATCATTGTATTTTTTTTTATTTATAGGACTCCTATCTGATTTTTAAAAAATGTTGTCATTTCTTTGTTGAGCTTATTTTTGGTTTTCCAAATTCTGCAAAATTTCCTATCTGTATATTGTTATAGTTCACTGAACTTTTCTGAGTATTAATCTGAATTATCTTCATCAGTCATTTCATAAATCTGTATTACTTTGAGGTAGACTATTGGAGCTTTATTACTTACTTTTGGAGGTGTCATGATTTCCTCATTCTTCATCATTTTTATGTCTTTGCATTGTTGTCTGTACATTTGAGACAGCAGCTCCCTCTTCTAACCTTTACACATGTTCTTTTTTTTTTTTTTAATAAGTAAAATGGTCTTTTTTAAAAAAATAACTTTTATATATTTTCTTCAAACAAGTTAAAAGGTGGCAAAGTATCTGCTACAGTAGTTTGGAGGACTAGAGGACTGATGGGTAACAGCTGTTTTGTTGTTAGGTAAGTGGATATTAGGCATTCTATTCCTAAAATATGCCTGATGAGGCTAGATACCTAAAGCTACCCTTAGTTCCAGGAATGAGTATCTTCCATCTGCATCGGAATCAAATGCTCTCAAGCTCTCTGGTTCTGGCACAGCAGAAGAACCTAGGGAGGTCCAGATTTCCTGGTAGGTCAGCTTCCCATCCACGTCCTGGCCAGTCTTGTGGAATAAATCCTGAAGATCTTCAATGCTAGAAATTCCTGGTAGGGAGATAGGTCTTAGTTGGGCAGCTTTCTCAACTGGGTGTCCAAGAAACTGTGAAAATTTTGGCAATGCTGATGGCTTTGATGTGAAACTCTCTACTTGATCTTCATCAGCTGTCTCTGGAGGCCTGTTGCTCTCAGGTTTGTTTGTAAGGGCACTGATCAGCTGGAGTTTCTCTTTTAGCTTGGATGCCTGAGAATTTGAACTATCTTCTTTCTTTATGCTTTGGATTTTTACTGTATCTGTTCTGTTAGTGACTTGATCCAAAGACTCTCTTTTCAGAGTGGCAGATCTATCATCCATCATGCTGAAGGACAGGTTTGCTTTCTTTTCTACCTTGCTCATAGCAACCACATCACTTTCTATCAGGTTGACTCTCTGGGTAAGATTACTGACTGTCTCGTTCATTCCCTCGAATTTAAGATCATTCTGTCTCTGGAACCCCACTAGGGCACTGTTTACCTCCTCTAAAGAGTTGTGAAGGTACAGGATATCCTGTTTCAAATTCTCACTGTGGGTTTTATTGTCAAGTTCTGATGTGGCTGAAGGTGATGGAATGATTTGGTTGCTTCCAGCAGTCTCCTTCAAGAAGTGCTGATTCATATCACTCTGCAGTAATTCCATCGTTTTCTTGTGTTCATCCACAGTTTTCTGCATTGCTTCCACAGCAAGATGGACGCTGTTTAAAGTATTGCCAATGGAAGCTACACTCTTCTGAAGTCCCCCTACAGTGGCAGGCAGGCTAATCAAGTCTGCAGCTGACTTAACATTGGCTTTGAGGTGGTTCACTGCAGAAGTCAACAGAGAAATCTGCTTATTCATTTCTGTGATGTTTATCCAGACTCTGTTCAAACCCATCTCTCCAGATTCAATCTTCTCAAGTTGTTTTTGCTTGCTGAGTAGTTCTTCATTAAGTTTAGGGATTTCTTGGAATGAGCTTTTCTGATTAGATTCCATTGTTCGAAATTTTTCTTTGAGGGCATCCAGATCCTCCTTGAGAGCAAGCCGCATCCACATCAAGCCAACACAGGCCACAACACAGGCAGCGAGGATGACAAAACCACCGAGCGGGTAACAGATCTTGCAGCATCGTAAATAGTCTCCCTTGGCAAAGCGAGAGCGATTTCCAACCACACCGAATTCCTCTTCCTCCTCGGAGCTTGACTCAGAGTCTGAGTCAAGAGGCTCAGTGCGAAGCAGGCAGTGACTGCTTGGCCCTTTCTTGGGCTTCTTTCTCCGGCTGTCCGCAGCCAAACCAATCAATGCATTGAGCTCTTTGCGCTTTTTCATCTTCTTGTGTGGAGTGAGTGGAGCCCCGACTCCTGAGCTGCCAGGTTCGTACCCGACGCCCAATTCCCTTCCTGCCTTGGAGCTGCCTTCCAGGGTTGGGAATCCTGGGCCAGAGCCCCCTGGTCACTCCCACCTAGGGGTGGGACTGACCAGATCCGCCAGGGACTGGAGATTGGAGCCCAGAGGAAACTGGAACTCAGATGGTTGTGGGAAGTCAGGTAGAAATGGCCAAGGAGGTGGCGACCCCAAGGGATAACGCCTTGGGCGCAGAGTGTTAGTAAAGAGGATGGAAAGAGATCTTTATTTCCCAAAGGGTGAAGAAAGCCAAGTCCAAATTTAAGGATTCTCAGCGCTGATTAAGTAGGCAAAACTTCTAAGGGTGCTTCAGGAGTTGGGGAAGGGCACACAAAATAGGCGTTTTGAACCTCCGGGGCAGGATTTCCAATGCAGAGTGAAGAGAAGCTTGTTTCTGAATGGGAAGAGTGGGGAGGTGCAGGGCAAGAACGTGGGAACGCGTCAGTTTCTTCCTGGCTGGAGAGGTCGTGGCAGGAGGGGGCTCCCTGCAGCTACAACCCCAACACTGCTTGGCCGCACAGAAAATGCCCGGGTCAGGAAGCCGGCTGGGGTGTGTGATGACCACCGTTCTCCGGCCTCTGTCCTGAAAATGAAGGGGGCCCGAGGCCTTGGAAGATCCGGAGCCCGGTTAGAAGGGCTCAGCTTGAGAGAAGCCAGTCCCGCCCCTGCGGGACCCGCGCCCGGCTGTCTGGGCCTGCGGACGCGGTGCCGCGGGCGACCGCAAGCGCTCCCGCCGGGAGTTTGAGGTCTCCGGCAGGGGCAACTCTCGGCCACTCACACACGCAGACACCACTCCAGCCGCGACTCTGGCCCCTGCTCCGGCTCCGGCCGCGGTCGCGGTTGCGGTTGCGGTTGCTCCCGACAAGTTGTTTTTGGTGGCAGTGGCGGAGGCGGCGGCGGCCGCGGGCTCCAGACCCAGGCCATCTCCTAACCTTTACACATGTTCTTTGGCAGGGATAGATCTTCACTATTTAGCCTAGTCTATGATTCTGGAAGGGCCAGTTGGTGACAGCCCCAGGCAGGTAGAACTTGTTGTGAGATCTCTAGTTAGCCAAGCCACTGCCTTCTGCTCAATTGTCAGGTGGGGCTACTGGTTAGGCTCTGCTGTCCAGTGTGACCACTGGCTGGGGTCTGCTATTAGGCATAGTTTCTGGCTGGAAACTGCTGTAGCTTCCGCTCAGACTAGTCACAAGATACATTCCTTGCATGGCCAATTCAACTCTTTGTGATCTATAGCTGGGCAGAGCTGCTGACTGGGCTCCCAATTTAGGCAGTATTGCTGCCTAAGACAGGTCAGAAGAGAGGCTATCCTCTTTAGAAATGCGTGATTGACAACTGACTACCTATCAAGGTGGAGCCACAGGATGGTTTCTTTTGTTTGTTTGTTTGCTGAATTGACTGGCTGTTTTACCTCTGTGGTCAAGCAAGTCTAGCTCTTACGCTTCTCCAAATTTGTGGAAATGGATGAGTTATTGGGTGAGCTTTTAGGCTGAGTGGAACCCTTGAGTTTTAGGTTCCACTGAATGGAACCACTGAGTTTTAGGCTGAGTGGAACCACTGCTTGACTTCCTGGGTCAAGCTGGGTATACTTCTCTGAGATGTGCAGAGGTGGAAGCCTCCCTGCCTTTGCAAAGTTGTTGGGAAGGCTTATTGGGTTTGTGGAGCCACTGCTTAACTCTCTGGGTAAAATTGGTGTAGTCCGTTCATTTCTCTAAAATCTAAAAAAGTAGGATTCTTCTTTTGTGAATGGCGTCATTGTGGAGGTTTTTGGCTTCGTAGAGCTGCTGCATGACTTCCTGGGTCAAGCCAATTTAACTTCCTCATGTCTCTGAAATGGAAGGAAGTGAGCATCTTTCTGCCTTGTACAGGATCGTTAGGGTGGTCTTTGAGGTTGGGCAGGATGACTTAGATGTCTAGGACTCAAGTTATGATGTACATCCCATCAGGCTTCTGAAGACCACCAGCTCAGCTTTGTGGGTCAGTTATGAGGTTGACTGGTATCTGCAGTTGGGTACCACAAGTGGTAGGAACCACCAAGACTATGATGTGATCACTAGGACCTCTGCCTCTTTTGTTTCTACCTGATCCCAGGTGGTCTAGCTATGACATCTTCACTACTGTTTCCTATGAAATAAGATCAAAGTGGACTTTCTAGGAAGCATCCCGGAATGGAAGGGATGGATATGACTGCCTCTATTTCACACCCGTGCCCTCACCTCATAGAAATTGTGGGCCTAGGGAAATTCTCTTCATTTGGCATTGTGCCAACTTAGAGGAGTATGAGGGATTTCATAGCTGGAGTGAGACTGTTCTTCTTACCTGTCTCATTGTAATTTCGTTCATTTCTATGGACCTCCTTGGTGTCACAGTCTTGTTTCCAAGTGCTGGGGTTTTAAAAAAGATAATCTTCCAGTCTGTGGATAGTTGCTAGTTGAACTTTCTCTGGGGTGCAGTGGAGCAGAAGACTTCTGATTTTGCCATCTTGCTGGCCTCACCTATTGTATACTGTATAATGCCTTTGACAGTATCTGTTGCGTTTTCTCCCCAGGATTCCTTTAGATTTTAAATTAATGTCTTGACTTTTATGTCACTGTTTTCACCATATTCTTCTGAGTTCTAGACATTTCAAGTCTGTCTTCTATTTATATAATTCAGTTTTGATCATAAAGTAAGTTATACACTACTTCTAAGGAGATTTTTAGTTCAAAATACATTTAATACCCACATGAACATTCCTGACACAAGATTACTCCTAGTTTGTGTCCACTTCTATAGTTGAACATCTTTTTTAGTCTTCCTGAGACTGAAAATCAGAACATATGTAACATGTTTTCTTGTCTTACTTAAAAACATCATTTCAGATAGACATTTAATTGTAATGATTTTTAAAAGTTATTTCCACCTGGAGAATGGCTGCACATATATGCCAATATTTTTTCCTATCTCCCTATTGGGAAAAATATCTGTAGACAATAATTCTACCATGTGTGACCTTGAGAAAGTATTGCTTCTGCCTTTCATTCTGGGAGGGAGCTTTGCCATACTAGGTTTTTGCTAACTAAGGCTGATAAAAATTGATACTGTTCTGTTCAGAACAGACATCTTTTGGCAGATTATGATTCACAGCCACCTTCTTGGAAGGAAATAGTTTCTAATATAATGGCAAATAACTGTGAAACTTTGAGATTAGCACTTTGGATATTAACTATCCACCCATTAACCAGAATTCAGAAGCCTAAAGGTCATTGACCAGGAGTCTTCTTAAGTAATCAAAAATATCCTTTAAGTCATCATTTTCTTTGCTCCATATTTCTGCCAAGAGGATATGTTTGAATTGGCACATTTTATCCTTTTTTTGCATTAAGTTTATAATTTGAAACTAAATTTTATTGGAACAAACCTAACCAGTCTTTCTGCTTCATGAGAAATTATCAGTATTATTTTACTGACAGCTGGGCGATTAACTAGAGCTTCCTATCCCTCCTGTAGGGTATAGGTTCTGGAAATTGTATCCATTGCTTAACAGCAGCTGATGTGTAGGGTTTCATTTATGCAACCTCCCCATTTAAGAGAATGTTTGCCTCATTGTGTGCCCTTATCCCCCTGACTTGGGTGTGTTAGTATAGATTTATCAGTGTCCCTTATACTTCTTAGACTGCATGTTTTTTTGTAGGAAGAAGAATCATGGAGTACAAATCCCTTGTTACTGACATTGTTTCCAGTTCCCAAGTACGAATATAAGGTTTTTATTTTTATGGTGCTATCTTCATGACGATGTAGCCTTCATCTAAAACCTTTGATGTTTCAAAGATATCTTAAGGTCAGCTATAATGTCACCTCTTTATACAGTTAATTAGTCAATTATTCTAATAAGTAAATATTTATTGAGTGCCTACTATAGACATAGTACTATGTTTGAGCTTAGAATTCAGAAGAGTTATCTTTTAGTATCTTAAGATTTAGCTGAGAAAATAAGTCCTGTGGATTGCAAACCAAATAAAAACATTAGTAATGGATTTTGAGAAAAACTCTGATAACATATGTTAGTTATATGCAATTAAAAAAAGATGCCATCTTAAGAGGCAGCCATTACAGCTGTGTCTTTGAAAATCAATGTGAATTAGCAAGACAGTTAGTGGGAAACCATTTTACTGGGGGCAGAAATAATAATGATTATACTGGGATGGCGACAGAAGTGGATTCTTAACGGCACAGGAATGAGAACTGCAGTTAGAAGGGTTGATTAGGTTGATTGTTGCTGGCCTTGAAAGCTAAGAGGAATAGCTGAAAATTTGGGTTTGATAGAGTGAAGGTAGCTATTTTAGGGAGGTTAGAGCAGTAGCCAGTAGCCAAAACAGAGAAGTGACCAGTTAGAGCATCCTAGAGGAGTCCAGGCATAGGATGGTGTTCATGTAGGCTTACAGTGGTCGGAGCATGACAGCAGAAAACTAGCAGGAGTTGGCAACTGCTGGGTAAGTTGTGTAGGATAAAAATATTTTTGCTAATAGAGATATTGTATATCACACTGCTTTTCTTTTCTTTCTTTTTTTAAAGTTCAGCTTTTTATTGAACGCATTATAAAAGAGGTTTAGTCAGAAAGACCAAAGCCCATGTCATCATCAGACTCCTCAGATTCTTCTTTCTTTGCTTCCACTTTCTCCTCAGCTGGAGCAGCAGCAGTGGAGGAGGCAGGACCTCCTGCTGGTGCAGCACCAGCTGCTGGAGCAGGCCCAGCAGCCCCTGCCTTGCAGATGAGGCTCCCAGTGTTGACGTTGGCCAGGGCCTTTGCAAACAAGCCAGACCAAAAAGGTTCAACATTTACACCAACTGCTTTAATGAGGGCATTGATCTTATCATCCATGATGGTCACCATAGTCGTGCAGAATGAGGGCCGAGTAGATGCAGGCGAGCTCGGAGACCGAGGCCGTGGTGCGCGTGAGTGTGGAGCCAGCGCTGCCCCACACGGTGCTAGTTGCCGGATGAAGAGGGCCTCACCCCAGCGCCGTCTTAGGTTCCTTAGAAGGACCGAGCACCTTGGCAGCGGCTGAGGAAAGGGGCGACACTGCTTTTCAACTTTATTAAGTTGTGGAATTTATATTATGAACGATTTAAGAAAACAAGGTGTACGAGTGTCCCAAGTCCCAGACGTAGAAATATTGGATGTGATAATGAACTGCCTGTTCTTTAGGCCAGATGTCTGATGCCTTTTGGCTGTCTACGTTTTTCCTCATTGCAATCTGGCTCTTAGCACTCTAGTTTGGGTCTTTCCTACTCTCTGTTCCTACTCAGTGAAGTGTTGGTGCTGCCTGACAGGGTTTTACTGAATTTTATCGACCAATCTTTCCCTTCCTTTCCCTTCCTTTCCCTTTTCTTTCCCTTTTTCCTTCCTTTTTCCTTTGTACTCCTCTTTTCCCCCTCTCCTCTCCTTTCCTTCCTTTTTCCTTTACTTTCCTGTTTTTTTTCCTCTCCCTCTCCCTCCTCTTACTCTCCTCTTTAAAAAGATAGAGTCTTGCTATGTCACCCAGGCTGGAGTGCAGTGGCACAATCAAAGAACTCCTGGGTTCAGGTGATCCTCCCCACTCAGCTGCATGAGTAGCTGGGACTACAGGCTTGAGCCATGGTGCCTGGCTTCCCAGTCTTTTTTTCTTAATTAGCTCTTTCCCAAACAGTTATTTAATTCCTACTGTATTTGTAGGCCCCTGTTTCTGGACACAGAAAACAAAAAAGACTAAAACTGTTGTGTGATG